TTTCATAATTGATTCTGTATTAATGTATATATTCTGCTATGTAGCAGAAGGGAGTTACAAAACTCAATTTCACTCTATAACTTGTTATATTGTGACAATCAACCTACATGGAGCCAGTCTGTCTGTCAGTAATGAAACAAATTTAAGAAAAAAAGATAATCTCAACCTTGGATTATCTAGGAGATGGACCACAGAGTGCATCCTTATCATGACAGCTGTGTTAGTCAGTCGACTAAGCAAACACAGAGACAGAAACTGACCTACTGTTTAGAAGAGTCATAGGCTGTCACCTTTGGCTTACTTACTAGCAAATGATCCAAATATGACATGAGGAAACCTGTGTTATATTATCCTTAATGAAGTAAAGGTTCCTACACAAACACAATAGTAGGGGGTTTGGTCTTACCATAATACAGAACTATGAACCACAGACAGAGCAGCACCATTGTGACACTGTTGAGAAAAGGGTTCACTTTGTGTTTCTGTGAGGAAGAAAATACATATTAGATCTGAAAAGTGTTGGAAACAAACGGCACTATAAACCCATTAAAATCACAGATATTGAAAATTTAGATAACACAGCTTACTTCAAGCTGAAGGTCTTCTTGCAGTTTTTTTACAGACTCATTCGTATCTGTAATTTGCTCCGTGAGCATTTTGAAGTGCTGGTCCATGTACTCCTGTTGAATGCACACACAGTTAACCTTACTCCATCACATCACAGCTCTTTATTAAAGCTGTATGATGTTTTCACTGAGTGAATTATTTAAAACCAAGACTCTATGTTTTTTTATATGGCTGCACTGGTCCATTAAATGAAAATATTCTAGATGCTTTGAGCAGCATAATATACAAATTTTCCAAAGGTTCAACCTGGCATATTTGGTATCTTGTACAACATGAACTTCTAATGACTGATCCATGAGGTTTAAGAGGTTACGGCATGAATGAATCAGGTGGAGTGGGGATGGTACATGAAAGTCTTTCTGATAGTCAGGGACAAGAAAATCCAATTTCTCCATAGTGCTGTCCCAACATTACTCTGTAAATCCAACCTGATGTTTTTTACTTATTGACATAATGATGTCATGATTTGTCCCCTGCAATTTAGTGTAAAAAAAAGACTCAAAACTCACAGTCAGATGTCTTCTCAGGACAGTGGAGGCCTCAGTGGCCAGGTTGCCCCGCTTGGTCTCCAGGGCGCACACGTTGCAGATATAGCGTCTGGACGTGTTGCAGTAGTACCTCAGCACCTCGTCGTCGTGCTGCGGGCATTTCCTCTCCATGAGATCGCACAGGGGCCTGACCAAAGGGTGTCCCGTGAATACCGGAAGCTCCAGGTGGTCCTTGGTGTGCTCTTTGCACAGCAACACCTCACACTTCAGACACGTTTTAAAGGCCAGAGTTTTTTTCTCCGGGCAAAAGTCGCAGTACACACTTTTTGTCTGCTCGTCCTGCTTACAAAAACCAGATATTAAGATGTGGGAAAAGGTGTGTTAGACACATTTGTCCTCTTTTGAGATTAGGTTTAACATTCCACAACTATTCCTTTACTCTCTACATCTTTCAAGTGGCACGGATAAATAAGATTGTAGGTGAGAAAATGCTCATAGCAGATACCCTCCTCATCTTGATCACCCTGAAGTCCTCTGCGATGTTGGCCAGTGCGTAGCTCTTCTGGAACCTAATGTTCTGTCCAAAATCTTCCCTACAGACTGGGCAAGGTAAGAGAGTGTCTGAGGAGTGATCTATCACGTTATCAAGACAGCCCTTACACATGCTGTGTCCACAGGGCAGCTGCCGAGGATCCTTAAAGATGTCCCGGCACACTGGGCACGTCAGCATCTCCTCAAGCTTTGTTTTCTCTGTTTCTTCCATTTTTGATCCCTCTTCTTCCTCACCTTCTGCCTGCCAGAGGGGACAGGAGGGTGTTAACTGCTGCCTTTGTGAGCACTTACTATATCGTTTGTTATGAATAACCTCACGAGCCTCCAACCTTTAAAGTTAAAGCTAAGAAAAGCCCTCAGTTTTGCTTGTCTTCTGTTTTCTATACACACATTCCTAAAAGTGAAAGCACTGCGGAGTTTAAATTTGTACTTACTGGTGGGGCGGGGCTTAAGAGGAGTAGGATGTAACTTGGCCTATAGGATTACATAATCAAAATATCATTATTAGATACAACAAAAGCAGGACACTAATTAATTACACTATTCATTTTTTTAGTCATACATAGAGAGAAAAAAATAAACACGCGTTTGTGGACTTTTAGGGCGGCTTCACACCTAAAGGTCCGCTTCCTGAAACGAACCAGCGCTTGAATAACATTGTTTAAATTTTCCAGCTGGTCCGGTTTGCCTTCACAAAGGCAAATACTCAAACGGTCCAGAAAGTGTAAACAAAAGCCATGTGATGGAAATGGCGATCGATTATTGGTCACACAATCAGCTGGAAAAAAGACAACACACTCCTCCAAATCCTGGATATCATCACGTGGCACCATCAGGTTCATGTTGGTGTTGCTCGGATGTGATGTATTATGCAAAAAAAAAAAAATAAACAAAACAACAGCTTCTGTTTTCAGAATCTATATGTATCACCTTGGAGGAATTAATTCATGCTTAAGGATATGTCACCACATGCTACATACATTACAAAGTGGTGCCGACTTTCATCAACAATAAATATTACATATTATAATTACTCAGTTTGTATTATTAATATTTTATATTACGTGGGCTATTTGCTGTAATAGTAGTAATCTCTTTCATATTTCGACTGTAATTTTTCTATTCTCTATTATATCTCGTTTGCAGAGGTTTGACGGGTGACTGGTGTTAAACTCCCCCACCTTCTGGTATTAACTGTTGCAGTACTTTGCCTTTCTTTTTATTTCCTCTTAACATGTTTACTGTAGAAACACCAAGGTCAATTGGCAAACAGTGAAAACCTTCTTGGTAAATAAACGTATCCAGCTCATGTGCATGCCGAAGGCATCGCTAAACTAAATGGCAGAGCCATTATTGTTCCACTGGTGGGTTTTCTGTTAATTACAACCATCTTAAACTGTGAATAAGTCACGTAATGCAGCCTTAGGGCGAATAGGTGTAACATACTGTTTTCGTTTATCTGTGAGGTTGAAACCTGTCGACATTTTAAACCCGTTTTAAACCTTTAACCCTTTTCCCGAGTGACAAAATGTGAACCCGAAGTCGCGACTCCTCGCACAATAACGTAAAATAAAAATATTCTAACGTTTTGTTTCCTTTCTACAGTATCCAGCGGGATTTAACGTTCATATATCCGCTGATAAATCATATAAAAAGGCACTCCTTATACAGGCAGCCTCAAAATAACTTACCTTTCAAATTTAGCATTAAGTAGTTAACCGTGTTCTTGTCTGTAACTTCCCATCGTTACAGATCGTTAGCATGACTTTCCATTGCGTGGATTTACTAAAAATATAGATATGAAGTTTTATAAAAAACGCGACACAGGTGTTTTCATGAATGTATTATTATTATTATATAGTTTCTGTATAAATCTCGTCCTTTAACCCAGCTCTTACTGACAAACTACTTCCTGTTTACATCACGCAAAGCACGATGGGAACCCTGGTTGCAAAAAAAAGAAAAAAAAAGGGCTAAAAATAAAAACGTTTACTGCCTATTAATATAAGTGACAAATTCATCAAAATTATATTTTTGTTTTACACTGTCAGTGAAACGAAAATTGACAGTAACAAGGCTCATCATGTCCCTGGACTTGTTACACTCCTCTCTAATCTTACATCCATTTATAGACAAATGTTTGCTTTGCATACATATGTTGTAGACATTCATGCAAAGAGATCTGCCCTACATCATGCATAGTAACTCTCTTATCTAACGCCATGGCTTCTCTCTGTAGTCCTCCTGATCATATAGCAACATGCAAGTAACTGTCAAACAAACACATGTATTGACTTTACCATAAGAGTTCCTTATAACTGATCTATAAAACATTAATCAATTATTCAAGAACTATTTAGACATTAGTTACAACGTATAAACCTATTTTAGGACGGGTGCTTCATTAGAAAGTAGTGTGTTGAGGGTTTACACAAAAAAAAATACCAAAATCATGTGTCCCACAAAATGGCTTTTTTATTAAAACACAACAAAAATGTGATCAAGCACCAGAAGTTTTATAAAGATGAAAACACATTTGTAACAACGGATATAAAACACTTTTTAAAACAGTATTTTAAAAGGGAACATCATATATACACGTATCATAGTATGATTATCTTCCCAAAGTGTTAAAACCAGATTTCTTATAAAGTCAGCATTAATGCTCATATAGGTCATGAAAAGAAAGTCTACATACATTCAGTAATCAACGTGAATATGACACCAAACTACTTTTTGATAAGAGACAAGAGCGTTAAGTAAAAAAAAAGAAAGCATAATATAAAAATAATATAGACATCAAAAACTAACATCAGTGGCAGTACTTTATATAGGCCCACAACTGACACATGAAAGGTTGGCAGGTGAGGATGTTTTGCCCAGTCAGTCACCAGATATCTTCTCCCTGTAGGCTACCCATAAAAGCTTTTTAACTTTTACTGATGCAACCCATTTAACACCTCCTCTCCTTCAGCATGTATGTAGTATACCTGGTAAACTATGAGATTCTTTGCAAACTGACCATGTGTTTCTCACAATGTCTGATGCTAAAAAGTGGCAGTAGTGTTACAACTCTTGCACACTATTCAGGTCCCATTATTGGTCCACAATCACAGGAGACAAAAATATGGCAAGGAATAAGAAACAAAGAAATGTAAAAGACAAAATCATCTGTAGTAGAAAATGCCCCCGTCACACTGAAACTAATCGGTCATTAAAATATAACCTTTCTGGAATGGCTGGGTCTCAGGAACTAATCTGGGTCAGTGTTTCTGTTTTTTCCTTATAGCTTAAACCTTTCTCATCTCAGCTTTACATGCCAGTCTTCTACAAAAGTGATACAGTGTTTTCAGTCTGAGGTAGAAAATGGCGCAACCACTACCAGCCAATTTTCCCACAGCTACAAGCCAGCAATCGTCCTGAATGAAGGAACAAAGAATTCACACTGGTGTTTCTCCAGATTCTTCATAATCCTGAACATCTTTCCACAAGTAGTACAACTGAAAGGCTTCTCTCCAGTGTGGAACCTCAGGTGTGCTTTCAGATTCTCTCGCAAACGGAAGCTTTTGCTGCACTGCATGCAGGTGTGCGGCCTCTCCCCTGTGTGGAACCTCAAGTGGCGGCGGAGGCTCTTCCTCAGCGCAAACGTCTTCGAGCACACTGAACACGAGTATGGTTTTTCTCCGGTGTGAAAGCGCTCGTGCCGCCGGAGAATCTTCCTCCGCTTGAATGTCTTCCCACAGATGCTGCATGCATATCCATCACGGGAGTGGGTGACCACCTTTTGAAGCCGCCAAACCCCGTTTCCACAGGGGGTGAAGCAGCAGAGGCGATGGCCTGTGTGAAGACCTTGGTGGCGGCGGAGGTCTTTGGGCAGAGGCCAGCCAGTTTTGTTGTTAGCATCATCACCTTTAGCAACATCACCCTGAAGCGTCATCTCTGACTCAGGCACCGTGAGCATGTTCACCAGCTGAACCGCACAGGGACGCATCAGCTTTTGGTCGGGAGAAGTCAGTTTCAGTTTCATATGTAAATTGTTCTTCGTCTCCTTTGGTGTGGGGATCCGTTCCCAAACCCCAACCTGACCAGGCGTCACAGCTCCATCAGACGGGGACGGACTGTAGGCAGTGCCCTTAGCGGTGCTCACGCGGGCTGGCTGAGGCTCGGCTTGAACAGGCTTCTCGGGGCTGTCAGGTTTGGGAGCTGGAGACTCTGCCTTAAGGATCAACGGGCAAACAAACTTAACCTTCTCCCCAGAAATGCTATCACGTGTGTCTGGTTGGATCACGAGAGGCTTCTGTTTAGCTGGAGAGCATTGTGTAGATCCATGTCTTAAAGTCTCTGTCCTTGTTTCTGCAGAGACTGAAAAAGATTAAGACACATTATTTAATCACATTGGACATTCCCTCCACCCTTTTCCCAGAAACCTTCTTGTTTAGCTGTGATCTGTCTGAATATATTTCCAACAGAATAAATAACATTGCTGGCTTTGTCAGTTAAAAGTCATGGCATTTTGTCATTCAAACAGTGTTTCCTGGTTTCTTCAACTGATTTTACTTATACTTATTTGTGAGTAAGAGACGCCAATTTCTCTCTCCCTCTCTGTCTCTGCATGTTTTATCTTTTGTTTACTCTAACGGCTTCTCCTGTTCAGGGTTACCGCGGAGTGCAGCCTATCCCAGCATCCACTGGGACTCCTGTCAGTTTATGACAGGGACATATTGTGTTCATGTTTGTCTGTTTTTTTGCAGAACACAATGCACATTTAAGGAAAAAGCTTAACAAATATAATTTCAGGTGGTTTTTATAGCACTTATTGTTTCTGATAATTATTGGTATTATGACATACTGTTGAAATCAAATATCTAACAAGCATATAGTAAAACTGAAAATCTTTCCAATCTTATTGCAAATTATGCATGGGATTACATCCATGATTATGCTTCCTGTTAGTATGTTTTCAGCCTTGTATTTCAATTCACTGTCTTGATACTTTTCCTTACCATGCAAAACAACTTCTGTTTGTCGATTGCTGTCTGTTGGGGACTCAAACCCACTCAACTCCACCATGTCCAAAGTCTGCGTCAGAACCTTATTAAAGAAGAAACCCAGGGAAAAAATAAACAGATTTTTTTTGCTGTAGTTGATATTTATGTTGATTTCTTATCAGCTCTTGTTCCTGTCCGTAATAAACAAACATGCATATTTTTACTGTAGAACTGTAAAAAGGTTTTGAAGTATAAAAAATAAATACATTTGATACCTCAAAAACAAGTATGACGTAATGGGGCCGTGTATGCTCAGGCAATTCATTTTTATTTGTTGAACCAAAAATGGAAAAAAGTTTTTCCTTTTTTGTTGTCAGAATAAAAAAAATCAAATATACAACACATTATTTTGTTATTCTGTTTTTCTTGTGATTTAAAAAAAAACAATCTCCGCAGTGTTTTCCTGCGCGCCAAGTTGTGTGTGACGAGCACCATGCTGAATGTCAATATGCGTTCTTTGGCTTGGCAAACAGTAGGACAATTAAGTAGCCTCCTGTAATCCATTGCTTAAAACAAAGGGAAAGATTACTCTGGAGCTTCCCACAAGATCTATCAGGCATCCCACCGGGGCAGTTCCCTTAAGTCAGATGTTGAGTGTTGGTGCGGGGATTGTCAGGCAAGGAGGGAAAGCATCACTGAAGGCACAGGGGTAACTGAATCAGCTGCACAGGTGCTTGCACTGTCACGATGTTCATTCATTCATAATAGTGCATGATGCGAATGAGCAAACATCAGATTGTTTCAGCTTTCCCAATGAGGGTGTCGCCCTGACACTATTTTTGTAAAGTTTCATGCACCTTAAAATGTTTTTCATAGGGGGGGGGGATAATAATAAATCAACGCCGACTTCCTTGACCTTTACGTTTCCCCTCCAGCCAGCAGTCAACATACATGGCTACCACCCTGCTTTAATTGTCAGGCTGCCCCATACCAACCAGCCAACCTTCTGCAAGCAAGCAGATGTTTTTGTAGAGATGCAGTTACGGACAAATGGTTTGCTGTCCAATTTGAAGACAAAAATTGAATTTCCTTCTTCTTTTTTTTATATTCACACGAAAAACAAAAACAAACAAAATAATACACTGTATATTTTTTTCCCTCTGGGATCAATAAAGTTTTTCTGATTCTGATTATCATGTCAAGCAAGTTGAACAAAGCTTTGGCTGGAGGGCACACAGGCCCTGTGAGAACAGGCCAGGCTCTGATGACAAGCTACAATGTGTAAGTCACATAGTTGCTCACACTTCCCTTCATCCTGTTCCTTCTTTTTCCACGGGTGACTAACACCCCAATAAATTCTCACTGACCTGTTCCTTCACAGGCGACTGTTCGAGGTCAACTTGGCCATTATCTTCAGCCAGGAGAATTACTGGAATGAGACACCCCTCCACCACCTCCACCTCCTCCTCCCTGCACTCCCTGGAACAATCCCCATCCGAGGGTAAAGAGGGGCCTGTGGAGAAGAGGGGGGAGGGGTTAAGACAGAGGGACACATACATTCCTTTACACTGGGTTTGCAATGGGGGAACACTCTGCAGGAGTTCAGCGCTACAATTAAAAGTGAACATAGTTTGCAGGAACTAAATGCACAAATGCAACTAAGTCTGTGCTTATTTCAAGCACAACATGCTATGGCATGCTTCTGATCTTATCATGCAGTTAAGTTTTTAAGGAGCAACTAGTCTACACGCTCTCCTTATGCAGCTATCCCTGCAACCTAGCGGTGCACGCAAACAGGAAGTCATAGCATTTAAAGCTCCTAACACACACACACACCACAAAGCTCGAACGGGGGATACATGTCTCTGTCCACTTGCACTCCGATGCTGCGTTTTGTGTCCTCGATCGATAAACTATCCAGCGTCTCCACGGTTTCATTTTCCCTTTTGTCTTCATTGCGGCCCACATCCACATCCAGCGCCGATGCTCGATACCTGCTCTCGAACAGTTTGGTTAACTCCACGGTGGCCGCTTTGACCAGCGCTCCCAGCACCGACTCCACCTGCGCCTGGAGGTTCACGACGCCCGCCGACATTTTGGCTGAGTCGTCTTTGCAGGATTCAGCGTTTGTACAAAAAAAATCAGAGTAAAATGGAAGTAATTAGCAGGGGTTTTTATTTACCAACGACAGCCACATGGCTTGCAGAAAGAAGGGGCGTGTCTCGTACTGGCGCAGGCGCGCCAAACACTTTGGGGCGGCCAGTTACATTTATTCTATGGTTGCGTCACGAAATAAGAGGGGCGGAGCCAAACGATGATTAGACCCGATATAAATCTATGCTCAGAACAGAGAGTGCTTTTGTGTTTCACGTTCTCTCATGTTTAGCCACACAGGCCCTGTCTCCTTTTCTGGGTATTTGTGGTTTTTTTTAAAGATGGATATTTGAGATGTCTTTGTTTTAAGATTCCTTTCTTAATAAAAACAAGACGGGGACAAGAATGCAATCTTTTTCTACATTTTGGAGGGCACCTCCAGTGTTAATAGCAAAACACTTAGTTGCTTTGTGTCTATGACAATTGACTATGTAATTAGTGGAAGTCACAGTGTACGTTATGTCTTTATATATTTATATTTTCAAAGTGGGACCGTGGTTACAGGTGGCCATCGTGGAGGGGAACAAAGCCTTATTATTTCTACCTTGGCTTCCACCGACACTTTGTGGCAGCGCAACAATTCATCTTTAGGCTGGCAGAATTTCACACACAAACACCTTTAAAAAACTATACAGTAATAGGGTTTCTGTCCAAGCTGTCATTTATTTAAGACTTTAAAGTAAGTTAAATGTCTCTTGTTACAAAAATAGAATATGGCTGTTGTCATATTTCATTATCGTAGAAAACATCCATATGATGTACAGCACTTTCAGTGTACAGCGTTACATTGATTTCACAGAGCAGGCTGGTGATGGAAAAGTCTGCTAGCACCCTTGGATCTGGCTTCAGTTGTTTCGATACGGGGTCAAACAAGAAAATAAGTGAACAAATAAAACACATTCAAACTGCAACAGACTTCACAGATGGACTCAGACATAATGCATACAACATTGCAACCCCTCCAGTACTTCAGTAAAGCAGATATATCAGTTGATGGCAAGGTTTTAAAAGAATTTCTTTTTTTTATTGTACTGGACAGTGTTACATGTGGGAATAAAGGCACCGTGGGATCTTAGAAAGTACTTTTTTACATGGAGGATTAGTGAATATGTTGGGGAGAGGGATAAACGAGTAATGGAATATTATTCTGGTGAGATGCAGAGAGAGGATGACGAAAAGATGTGATATCAAAATTAAGTTCAACATAAGAACTAGATACAAAAGAAGATTATTTGACAGAGCTGATGATGTTGACTCTTGAAACTGAATTGGTCAGACTTAAAGAGTAAATTATGACTTCATGATTTAATAATCATCATCATCATCATCGTCGTCATCGTCATCGTCGTCGTCGTCGTCATCATCGTCGTCATCATCGTCATCATCATCGTCGTCATCGTCGTCGTCATCGTCGTCATCATCGTCGTCATCATCATCATCATCATCGTCATCATCATCGTCGTCATCGTCATCGTCATCGTCGTCATCATCATCATCATCATCGTCATCATCATCATCGTCGTCATCATCATCATCATCATCATCATCATCGTCATCATCATCATCAGGATCGATTTCACCTGACAGAACATCCTCGATCCAGTCCTCCAGCTCGTCTACAGATGGCAAGTCCTCCCCATCATCCATGTCCATCCACACGCTGTCAGCCTGCAGAGTGATGAAGAACAAATGAAACCATACTCTGGGGAGGCGAAAGCCTTAAAGGTACCCTGTGGAGTTTTGGACTACTAGTAGCCCTATGGAGCAATTTTTCACAAGCGGCCCCCCGTTTTGTTTGTATCGTGCACAAAGGGTTGTAGCTTTTGAGGTAAATTCTATATACAAAGGTATAGATAGATTGTGGACTTGTCTGTAACCTGCTTGGGGTTACAGTCCTTTTGAGCCCCTACATGTACATTCATTCAACCAATTTTACCCAAAGTCTCATAAACGAACCAAACTGTCTACACTGGGATACTGCTATAGGCTGCTACATGGTGCACAGTCTGACTGTGCACCATGTAAACATGATATAAACTGATACAAACTGAAAAGTGAAGGGTCTTAAAAATAGATTTTGACACAGGGTCCCTATAAGACAAAGCACAATTCATATGGAGCATGATTGGGTGAGAATGCTTTTTCAGAGCACTTACTGTTTCAGTTTTAAGTGTTCTTCAGATTTATAATTAATCAAATTACGACAAAGTGATTGCACCAGATATAACCAGGGATTTTCAGGGTATTACTGGGTTCATAGGACAGTTGGTCAGTCTCTATTATTTGAGTATTATGTACTCTGAGTATATACATATGTATAACAGAATACAGCAAAACACACAAAGGCATGGGCAATGTACGAAGGAAGTACCAAAAATATTACTCACATCATCAGCATCGACAACACCAATCTGTGGGGAGGACAGGTCAATTCCAAAAGTCTTCTCCCAGTGTGGCAGAAGCTGCAGGGGAAAATATTATGATTAACCCCACTGTTATAATCCAGGGTGAATCAAATGACTGTGAGTCAAGGAGTACCGAGACAAGTTTCTCCGGTATGCATAATGCACTGTGTTATATTCTTACCAGGGGGAAATCGTCAGGGTCAATCCAGACAATGCTGAGGTCGGGGTTGTCGGTGTTATCCTCTGCAACTTGCTTCAGGATCTCAAGGAACTCAAAACCGTCTAAGGAGTGGAGAGGACAGCAGTGAAACTAAGATTAAACTAATGGGTATTTGCTGATTCTTTTATTGCTCATCCTTCATTCACCTGCAGAAGGACTACACAGCTTTATGGGACAGTCTGATTAAATTTGACCTATCATCACCATGCAAAAACCTCTTCCAACCCCGTTGCTGCCCCATGTAACACTCCCTAGATGTGCTTTGGTGACTGGTTATAACTGTTTTATAATCTGGTGGTGTTTCTGTCAGCAATGTTTTACAGTTAACTCAGGGTTCCTTTACCTGGGTCAGCCTCCTCTGCAAAAGCAATGATATGTTCACCACCAACATCGTCATCCTGTGGAAAGAATAAAGGCAAACTGAACCCACTGGGGTTAACTTGTTAAAGTTACAATTTCAGGAACTTCAGAAACTGTAGTTTAATCTCATCAAAGTTTCCTCATTGAAGAATAGTAGTACAAAAACAGACCTTTGGTTTAATTTGTTGTGGTGTTGAACGTACTTACCCAGATCTCGTACATGTTGTGGGGTTGCAGCTTCCTCATGGTTGGTCTTGAAAAGCACAGGAGTATGCGATTTTATGCATTTTGTTTTACAGTATGGAAGGTAAAGCGCCTACCTCATGAGATCACTGTAGTAGATTATAGAATTAATGAGACTTACCTGTCGTTATCTTCAATGAATTTCACCAGCTCCTCCTCAGAGTAAGGTTTTCCTGGGATGACCACTGGATCATCAATGAAGGGCTCATAGAAGTCTACCTCATTAAGCTTCAGCTCCAGAGCCTTGGCAATCTGTAACACACAATCAAAGGATTAGAACTAACAACTGAGCACAAAGGACCTGGGAACCATGCAGAAATGAATGGTTTATAACATAAAAAGGTTTAATTCACAAGATATTTCACCAGTTTAGTTTGTTTTAATAAATGCAAACAATTTGTCGTAAGTCATTTTGACTGTTTGAGGTCAACATTTTTAGATCTACAGTATGGCATGTTTGAATGAAAGCTGTCTTGTAGAAGGTGTGCTAATTGAAAGAACGAGCGATACAACAAACACTGGAGGTATATTGAACATTCAGCCTCCAGAATTTGCCTGTCTGCAGACACATACTTCATCAGTTTTTATTTGGAAAAGCAGGCATACTACTGTACGTCTAGCTCTTACAATTTTATCAATGAGGACTTCTAGGTAGTCTCACAAAAGAAGGAAGAACCTTTCAGCTGCAACATCATCAATCAAGAATCTAAAATGGTCATTTTAAATAACAACAAATTATTACTTGCAGACATAGAAACAGAATGACCTTTGTCTCATACTGGTGTCTTTCTCTGTGTGTTCGTAATGACTGGCTGGGTAGATAGGAATGTGTCGATGCCTAGACAGCTAAGGACGAGAGATATGGCGCTCTTCTTCAGTCTTAGATGTTTACAGACTGTCTCCCCTAAGAATATATTACCTGTGTGAATGTGACCTGCTAATTACAACGTGACTTAGGCTAACTTGGGTAAGCATAGTGTCTTGTTTTGAACCAATGTCCAATAGAATCTTCACACATGTAAATATGGGTGACGAATAACCTTGCTATTCTATAATAAGTATAGTATTAGTATTAGTAGTTCTAGGAAGGAGGAAGGAGGCGGCTTTGGCTCAGGAGGTAGGAGATATAATGGGTTGCCTGTTAATCGAAGGATCAACGGTTCGATCCCCCAGCTCTTCCAGTCTGTGTCAAAGTGTCCTTGGGCAAGATACTTAAACCCAAATTGTTTAAGTATCTTGTCGTAGATAAGATACTTAATGGCAAGATTCAGTGTGTGAATCTTGCCATTCACACACTGATAGCTGTTCCATCAGTGTGTGAATCACACAATTATAATATAGTAAATATATATATTGTTTGTTTTAAGTGTTAAATACATCAAATAGCTCTTTATGGAGTGCCTCAAGGCTCAATTTTTTGGCCCATTGCTTTATATAAACAATGGATCAAATAATAATATGTAATGTCAAAAGAGTTGCTAGTAGTGATGAATCCACAGAGAATAATAACCCAATTCCAGCAACTCTCATGTCTACGGAACGTTTACCATCTTTTAGCTATTGCTTTGGTTTTCTGGCAAATACTACAGGCTATGCCCTCATCAACCTCATTTTCAGCAGCTGTCGACAGCTGTTTTGAGAAAAAAAAGCTTTGATAAACCCACTGGACATGTATCAGCACCAAACAACAGACAGAGAAAGCTTTTGTTTTAATACTTTTCATATAGCTCTATGTGTCTGATCAAACGTATATAATTATCGTGATTACTTACCTTGGGGTTGAATGTGGCAAAGAACTGGATGTGAGGATGAAACTCTTCAGCAGCATCGGCAAAAGCCTCAAAATCTGAAATTTTACAGGCATCCATCAAGTTGTTTCAGTAGATTGCCCCCTGTATGAAATATCTATGAATGTAGACTTGTTGCCCTCATCATTACTTTAGCTGCTAGCGTGCTTACTTAATAATCATGTTAAAAATCAAATCCGTCTGCAACTTAAAGTTAAATCAAGCAATCTGAGCCTGGTCTCTGTTGCACTTGCTTGACATGCAATTATGAGCAATTGTGTTGAAGCAAGCAACAGGTTATCATGCCATCACAGTACAGATTCTTACGTTCTGACTTGTGACTCTTAAAGTAGCCCACCAATTTGATGTCCTCTTCGACATTTTTGAAGCCTTTCAGTTCCCTACTATTGTCAATAATTTCCACGGGGTCCTCAAGAACCTATGAATGAAAATGAGGGTCATGGAGGAGAAAAGGGGGGAAACAACGAAGATGGAGGTGACAGAAAAGAAGAACCCCGAATTAGATTCCGAGGGTCATCTTCAAATAAAGCAAAGTGGGATTTAAAGACTTTTTTTTTTGTTGCTAAAATAAGGCAGGGTATTAACTGGGAGATTATATCCTCACGAACATCATAGATGAACTCCACAAGAGTGTCTGCTGCAAACTCGCCATCATATTCTATGACTTCATCGTCTGTGAAGATGTAGACGCTGTCAGACTCATCAAGGCCTGGGGGAAAAGAGAAGAAGGTGTTTACCTCGTCCTTCCCACATGTTTTATATTTATCTTCCATGAGAACAAGAAACATTAAAGTGAAGGAGGGAATATCCCACTGAAAGCTACATTATCTCTAGTTAGACAGGTTAGTTACAATTATTATCCTTTAGAGATTAATAGTTTATCTCTGGCTGAGTAAATGGCTGAGATACTGATACTGGCTGGTGTCATTTTGCATAATGATATGTTATAATGATATATAACTAAGTGTCTGCAGCTGTGGAGTGTTTACCTAATTTCTTTGCAACTACTTTGTCGAGCTTTGCATCGATGAGACCGACTCCGACATCCTCATCATCAAACTCATCCAGGACCTGGGCTGCAAGCTGTGAAACAAAGACACTGTCATGTAACTTTAGATTTGTCAGTTTAGTCTATAAAACATGGGAACATATGTCTGTATAAGTGTACAGTAAAATTTGTGTTTATATCCAAATCTCATGCACATTTATGCTTTTTTGACATATTTGTGTCAATCAGTAGTTTCATTACCATAAAAGCATGCTTTTCAGAGCGCTGCTTATGCACTTTCTAAATCTGTATGAAACTTGAACCTCATGACTGACAGTTGGTTCCACGAATGACAGTGCCACATACACAGCCTGACTGCATTCAGGAAGTGGTTTGAGGGTTGTCTCAGTGTGTTTGGAGGGTAAAAAGCACGCACGCATGCTCACACACATACACATCGGTGTCACAGATCTTGAGCAGCTGCTTTTACTGGCATCTGCAATAGTTTGACCATCCAGGCTGTTTTGCAGGTTGTTATGCAAATAATTCTTGGCATTTATATTAATTTGACTGGTGTTGCAGATGGGTGGGGTCTAGTAGAGCAGTTTCTAGTTTGTAGCTTAGCAGCAGGTAAGTAAGGTATGAACATACTTTATATATAATGCAGAAATATGTACAATTGGAATTATATACATTTTAGAAAAGCAAATTAAGTCTGTAAGTACAGTCATTTTTGCATTGCACTATATTTTGTTGCAGACCCCCACCCTTTTGGCATTTAAGAAGGCTAAAATAAACTTTTAAAGGGCAAGTGATTAAGGCTTGATACCATCCAAGCAAGTGAAGATGGATACATTTGAGGATAAACTGTAATGACCACATATGAAAAAACACTGGTGTCTCCTAATGTTCGAATTGTTTTCCATTTCCTGTATAACTTTAACAAAACTAACAAATTACAAATCTGCAAGTATGTGAAATGAGAGATAAATGTGTATTTGCATTGTATTGACACATTACAGGGTGTGCATCTTGATTTGAATATGTAATATGAATATAATATGAATAAATTCAATTTTTATTTAGTTATCTGGTGGCATCTTTGCTTTGCATTAATTTCATAACTGTGTCTGTCCTCTAAATATAAAACATGCAAAGTTGTCTTTGGATCTTGGTGCACAGAATCTGTATCTGCAGTAATGTAGCTGATATGTAAGGTTAAACCAACAGCCTCAGTATCTGGGATGGGATTTTATAGCTTTCACAGCTGCATTTGTTCTATCTACACGACATGCATGTAAATACTGTCCTGTTGTGCCTGTTCACTGGGACATATATGTATGGCAAAAACATAAATACATATACATAAATACATGTGATAAAATGTAATTTCCTGCCGTGACAATGAGATAGTTATTACTGCTGTGAAAAAATGATCTATCCTCCTATTGGACAGTGCAGAGTCATCCTATTTTGATAATAACAATAGTGTACTTATCTGTTTTCATGGACAGTGACCAATTTAAAAGCACAGTGCATTTAGTATGGAGAATGCGGGCCCTTTAATCTCAACATGGCAAAATTATTAAGCATTAAGTCTAAGCCACAAAACGTAGAACTCTGTCACAGTGTTCAGGCCACCTTAACAGTCTTCTTTGACCAAGGGAGAAAACACTTAAATATGACTTCCTCACTCTCATTATATCACATTTCATTTAACTTTAACTAGCCTCCACAGAGCGCCTTGACCTCTGAGATGTTGAGCCTTCTGCTGTTGTCTGTTACTAATAATAAAACCTCATCAAATGTGAATCATAATACATTCTTAAGGAGAAACACAAGCCTTCAGCGAGCTTGACCCACCACAAAAGCAGCTCGGGATAAATATAGTGCCAGAAGCCACACCAGCCCCAGGACTATTTTGGCGAGGTGGCAGTGATGCTCAGCCCTCTGGGATCCGCTGACAAGTACAGTACTGCAAGTGTCAATCACAGCGCCGAGCTGAGCCAGCACTACTGGAGCCAGAACCTTCAGTCCTGGCCTCCAGCCCTGAGACCAAGCCCTAATGCTCCCATACAGAGGCTGTTGAGATGATGTGATATGCTGAGGAGAGCAGCGTCTCTCTCTCTCTCTCTCTCTCTCTCTCTCAGTTTTGGTTATAAATGTTTTCCTTCCTATAATTACCTGTTACTGATTTTCATTTATTTTGTTGACTTTACATCATTAGATAGAACCACCCAAAGTCCTTCCACATGAATGCGGCAAAAAGAAAAATCCAATTTTTCTCGCTAATCTATCTGCACATGAAATTAATGGGATGATCACAGCTGTCAAAAATGAGTCAGAGAAAGAGCTTGAATGTTTTGTAGGGACTGCTGATTCCACTTAGAGTCATCCAACTGAATTGATTTCAGAAATCTGCTTTTGAATTTGGTAGTAATTGCAGAGTTTTGTGCCCGCTTTGCATGTCAACTCTAAAAGGAGCCACCAGCAATGCCTGCAGCTCTCCTGAAAATATAATAATGTATCCGGTGTATAAGGTAGCAGCCTTGACTGTGCACTGTGTAGTGGCCAGGCCAAATGCTGTGAAATATGGTCCCGTATATGTATTAAAGTCATCAGCACAATCACTTTTTTAGAGAACTTTCACAGTAGATATTAGTCCAGTATTTATTTAAACAATATAGATAGATAGATAGATAGATAGATAGATAGATAGATAGATAACTTTTCCTGGAAAATGTGGTATAGGACTATGTGATCAGTATTTTCTGAGGTAACCTGAGAAAACACCTGGGTCCTGAAACCTGAAAGCTTTGTTCTGAATGATGATGTAATTGTCTGTTTGCGAGGATTGTGGTGAAACGGCTAAGTCTCCAGGTTGACAGGAGACCTGAGGTGTGAAAGACGTACTGATAGAGGTGTGTCAAATGCATCAACTCACACACACACACACACACACACACAATGTACACAGGCCCAGAGTTTGCCAGAATACATGATATTTCAAATCCTCACAGCTCAGCTCTTTGCCTCCACGCTGATGACACACTGCAGGCTTATGACACATTTTCAGGAGTTCACCTATCAACAGTTCTGAATCCAGCAAAGCTATTTTCCACCTTGTAGCATCACTTTTCCATGATAACTTTAAGTGTTCAATTTCACTTTTAACTGTTATCAAATATTCTCTTTCCTTTCCTTTTTTCCTTTTCCCTTCATTTTTACTCTTAATTGCAATTTTGAGTTCAAGACATTTGCATTATGAATCCAGCACTAGTTATACTGTTTCCTCATCACTAAGCTAACCTGCTTTTCTAACCATAGTTCCCATCTCAACCCACCTCAAGGGCCAACTCCTCAATCTCAAACTGTCTCTGGGCGACGCGGCTGGATCCGGGATGGTCATGGTAGTACACTACCATAACATCGTACTTCTTCATCACAGACTTATAGTTCTTGGCATTGAGGTCGTGGACACGGTCTTTTCCATCATACTCTGGGAAGTCCAAGCTCTCCTTGCCCAATGATAGCCCCCCAAAGGACAGCAAGACCGCCACCAGCACCCAGGTCCACTTCATGGCTCCTCTTTAAGATAATGTAAATGTATTTGCCGTTTCAGAAAGTAAACAAATGGGAGGGACAAAAACAAAAACAAAATTGTTTGTTCAAAGTATGGAGAACCCCTTCCAATCCGCGTCACCCAGAAGAGAGCAAGACCAACTCTTGCATCCACCTTATTAAAAACCTCACATGGGAAACTGGGAGTGGGGCACAGGGTGCAAGAGGGGCTGGGCTAAGTTTGACATAGGTGTGAGTGTGTGTCTATGTGGGGTGTTACAGAGCATGGGTAAAATCAGGCGGGGGCTGCTGTGGTTGCTGGGGTGACAGCTTTGTGTGTATGTGTTTGTGTGTGCTTGTGCATGTGTGCTTGAGTGTGTGTTGCAGACCTGTCAAAGTGGGTGGAGTGAGGAGATGACGCTCCCTCTATCCAGACTGAGAACAGAGAAGACAGTGATGGAGGTGGAGGGTGCATAAGCAAGGAATGAAGAGATGAAGATGAATGGTGTATGTGTATTTGCGTGCGTGCTGAGCCTGTCTGCTTTGCGCCAAAAGAAGAAAGAGTGATATGATGGATATAGAGGTGGCTTTGAATATGAGGCAGTCTTTTCCCATATTAAGTGTAGATGGAGGCTTGGATCCTAGCTAAAAATAATGGATGTGGGACAGAGAAGTACATATCAGGAGGGGGTGCTGGTGTCTAATTTGCTGCTGCTGGCACCGGCACAGCGCTAGAATGTGGCACTGGGTCACTCAGGGACATGGAGGGAGTGAGGAGAGGACAGGGTGGTGCACCTGCTGAGGATTCAGGGCATAGGTGTCACTTAGCCCTGACTCAAGAAGAAAGTGAAACATAGAGTTTTATGGCAACGGTGGTGGTGGTGGTGGTGGCGGTGGGGGGGTTTGAGTATGCCCCATCTGTGCATACAGTACACATGTGCCCTGTGCAAAGTGTGCTTGAGATGACTGCATGTAATACTACTTTACAAATTGAAAGGGAAGCGGTAAGCTATAAATAAATATAGTCTACATGGTATCGTAATACTCCTTTTGACCCCCAACACACACGTACACGACACACCCCTCGTATCTGTAGCAGGACATGCAACCCACAGTATTAGAGCGGAAAGTTTAAATTTGAAGTTGAAAGATGCACTGACTTTATGAGTGTGTGGTAGAGATGGTGTCAAAGACTGTGGAGAATAAAGCTAAACTGTGGCTCACTGTGTTACTGTAAACATATAATCTGTGGCAGTACACTTTTAGCTGTATCCCAATCAGTGACGTCACAGCAAGTGTTTCAACTTTGAAAACACCTGCTGTGACGTCAATAACCGAGGTGTGGAGGTGTGGAAATGCAACAGTTGTTTTGTCTTTTGTGTTTCACAGTGGATTTAACTACTGATGTACAGAACACAGAAGCTCCAAAAATATAAAAATTCATTATTCGTCATAAGGGGCAGCGCGGTGGTGCAGTGGTTAGCACTGTCGCCTCACAGTTGCCCCGACCTTTGTGTGTGGAGTTTGCATGTTCTCCCCGTGTCCGCGTGGGTTCTCTCCGGGTACTCCGGCTTCCTCCCACCATCCAAAGACATGCAGGCTAGGTTAATTGGTGTTTCCGAAATCATCCTTAGGTGTGGATGTGAGTGCAAGTGGTTGTGTGTCTATGTGTGGTCCTGCGATGGACTGGAGACCTGTCCAGGGTGTACCCCGCCTTTCGCCCAAAGTCTGCTGGGATTGGCTCCAGCCCCGCCGCGATTATTCATCATTATTCACCTCACCTACATGGAGCATTTGTGTCTCATTCTCTCATTCTCCTCAGTTCACCAAACATTAGCCTCCAAGTCCATCCTCTTGAATACATGCCTTAATGCGGTGGTTCTCAAACTTTTTCACATCAAGGACCCCTAAACTGACACAAATTAGACCACGGACCCCCATTTGATAAGATTTTGTCCTAAGGTCCCCCATCTGATCTGAGGATTTTTGCTTTTAGATGTTTTATTTACAAAAAGTGTATGAAACCTATGACCAATGTAAGCATACATTACGTCTTTGTTACTTATAGATGGAATAATAGTGAAAATAAACTATTCCCCTATTTGCTGGGAAAAAATCTAAATGGTCCTATTTTCTTTATAGCTCATTTGTTAGTCCTATAAAAAAAACTGTTGCTATCAAGAATCCACACATATTGGTGCATACAGTGTATACAGTATTGGGAGAGGCTCTATGGGATGGTTTGTCCAGGGGAGGAACTCTAATTTCATTTCACTTATCATGTTTGCAGCAGTTACCTCTCCTGCTCAGTAGATGACGCTCTCTAATCTAAACTATGACCAAAACCTGAACCAGTTACCCCGGGTCTTAGAACCATAGGCTAAGTGATGTTATAATCAGCTTAGATCAGGGGTGTCAAACTCATTTTCACTAAGGGCCACATAAGCATTATGGTACGCTCAAAGGGCGTAGGACTATTTAAACATACTTCACTGCATAAAAAAATTCCTTAACATATTGTAAAATCTCTTTATTTGATTATTTATCCTTCTGAAGTTAAGGACATTTAACCCATCAGATGCTATAAGCAAGCACATTTCTTTGTTATTATAACATTATGTAGGCTACTTTTCAAGTAGGCCTACACAACAAAGACAAATATCATCAAACTATTACACTAACTTTTCACTTTTACTCAGACGAGAGGGGAGAACTATGGTAAAACAACAGATGTGGCATTTGATTAAACAAACGGCTGCACACAGCCTTGCAGAGGGCATCCATCCAACTATTGAGACAGATGGTTTTATTACCTGCAAAAATGCCGACGTATGTTGTAGCCTACTCCTTCATCACAGACACTGCCTCATGCTCATAACACAAAAAACGTAGGCCTTTTCTCCTTGAAGCACAAACGTGTTCACTTTCCCATCGTTCAAGAAATGGCCTTCCATCTGCATAAATTTTGGACATTTTGGGATTGTTTGTATACATTTCTCATTTGCACTTGTCCTTAAAAAAACAAAACATTTAAGCGGTTCTGGAAACACCGCAATCTTGTGGCGGGATGCCGTCACTTCGCAGGTCACAAAATCAACATGCATTGTGGGAGATGTAGTTTATTGTTCATGTATGCTTTAAAGCAGCATAGACTTTTATTTTGGGACAATCATGAATGTTTTAAGCTTTTGCGGGCCTTGAATTTGACTCATATGGCTTAGATGCTGTAAATGTTTTAGAAAATTTAATAAGACTACTGAAAATAATACTAGGGTGTGATCCTAAACACTGCACATTTGTTTCATTGTCAGTTTGTCAGGATTTTTGTTGTTTGATAGCCTATATGTAGCCTATTAAAATCACCATATTAATACAACGTTATTGTATTAATATTATATATTGTATTTAAGGACATGAATGTATTCCATTGCCAGAGTCGTAATCTCTAACAATGTCCATAAAATCCTTCATGGTGGTCAGTCTGTTCAGGTTCAAAGGTGATCTCAGGTGGGCGGGGTTATATTGTTGCTTCAATGTGGGCGGTGCTAAAGAGCTAAAACATTTCATAATGAGTACAGTCGAAATAGGTGCCGAGTGTTAAAACCATAGACTGTATGTAAAGGTTCAAACACAGTGCAGTACGAGCTGGGTTTCAGTTTGTACGTATACATTAAACGGAGTTTAAGGTAAGGCTTCTCAATGTTTAGCCTATACGCTCCATAACTAGCTTACGTTAGCAGTCAACAGTGTTAAAAACTAACGTTAGCGTTATTTGCTATGTTAACTTACTCAGCACAGGCCATTGTTGTAGTCAAAATAATAGAGGGGTAAATAATGCTGTATGCAAGTCATACAGTAACGTCACTGAAGCTAGATGCCGCACATCGAGCTAATATCTATTCATTTATTTATCAATTTGTTTTCAAGCAGCACACAGCCTGTCAGAGGCTATAGGTAAAGTGAGTGCAGATAAAATCAAACTGCTCTATTTCCAGTTAAACATCACCTAATGACTCACTGGACTGTCTGTCACACCTGAGTCAGAATAGTTAGTAAAAAAAAAAAAAATTGTTAGAAAAATAATCTGTAAACAAATAATCTGTTTCGATTAGTTGATGACTTTTAGAATAATGAACAACTCCTGTCACAATTTCCTGGAGCTCAAAGCTGCAAATGTCTTAAGTCCCCAACCTGAAAATATTCAGTTCACGCTGATATAAATCAGAGATCAGCATCACATCCTCACACTGGACAAGCTGGAACAACAGGCTGTTTGGTGTTTCTGACCTAAACGATTTTGATTGATTATGAAAATTGCTGCAAATACATTTTCTGTTGATTGATTAATCGACAGTTTCAGCTCTAATAACAATAATGTATTTTTTTAGTTAAAAAATAATAACCCTTCTCCTAAATCCCAATAATACTTTTACAGATGGCTGCAGTTCTGGCCAACAGAGCAATAGGAGCCGTCGTAGGATCAGCCGTGGCAGATGCAGCAGGTAATAACAGTGATCTGCTCTGAGTCTTCTTCCAACAGTGGATTGTGATACCTTCACCCCTGCACTGTGGAGGTTGTTGCTGATGTCACTTACTGATGTTTTGGGGGTTTTCTTCACAGCTCTCACGATATTTCTGTCATCAACTACTGTTGTTTTCCTTGGCTGACCTGTTTGATGTCTGTTACTCAGTACACCAGTAGTATCCAAACTGTTGTGCTTGCTATGTCCAATGTTTGTCCAGTGGCTCTGGTCGATTTTCCTTCTTTTCTCAGCTTGCTTTTCTCCCATAGACAGCTCTCTGGTCTTCCTATTGATTTTTCCTCTTTAACAGGATATGCAGTCTTTATAGGTTTGAAGGATGAAAACTTAGACTAGTCATGCAGAACTATTTAATGTTTGGACAATCAACCTAAAAGGCAACACCTGGGCAACAAGAAACATCTGCCAGTCACATGTTCCAGTACTTTTGCTCACTTGAAAAATGGGTGGGTTCAAACAAATGGTGGTATGTCCTAAGTTGTTTAACACATCCAGATGTGAATACCAGGAAATAAAAGCTGAAATTCTGAACTCTTGTCTCATACTCATCTTTTGATCTTAAACCCAAATGTCTTCAGTGAACAACAAAAACAAAGGAATTTGCCTTACCGTTTCAATACTTTTGGAGGGAACTGTGTACTCGGCTAGTCCACTTAATTTCATGGGACTTCTGGTTCAGAATAAAACTGACT